ATGCTCTTAATCTTAAAGCCATCTCTCTAGCTGCAAGATACAAAGTCTTATGTGATTTAGGATAGGTTCTCCCTTCCTAAATCGTCAGCTCAGTTATCCAACGTGAAGAACAAAGGGATCCATTATCAAAAGATCTGACTTCACATACTGAAAAGTAAGTAAATGTGTAGCCCGAGCAGCGTTTATAACTACCGCTGAAGCTGAGTGGCTCTTCCTTCAGGAGCCCCCTGAGAGGCAGAGGCAGAAGGGATTCAAGATTTCTAGACCTGCCCTGGATACATAGTTAAGAGTCCCATCTCAAAACAAAAACAAAATCCTTAGGTTGACTGGGTTTACAAAACAGAAACCTGAAACATGTTAAGCTTTTTGCAGCAGGTTTTAAGCAACCCCAATTTAAATTCCTGTATTTCTATTTCACTCCCTGTGGAACATATTCTAATTTGACATATTCTAGTCACTTTTTTCTTTTTCTATAATCCCATCTTCTACTGTGATTCTTCCTGATTCACCATGATGAACTATCCAAATAAGCCAGCTTCTGTGTGATGCCACTAAGCACTATGGATAGACAAATTCCTGGTATAATACATCATCTTCAGGTAGAAAACATTCCTAAGCCAGTGGTCCTCAACCCGTGGGCTTTGACCCCCTGTGGGGTGGGGCTAGAGGTGTGGAACAACCCTTTCACAGGGGTGACATATCAGATACCCTGTATACTAGTTATTTACATTACAACCTAACAGTCTGCAAAATTACAGTTATGAAGTACCAATGAAAATAACTTTTATGGTTGAGGGTCACAACAACATGAAAAACTGTATTAAAGAGTCACAACATTAGGAGGGTCAGAACCACAATTACTGCCTGAACTGATGGCAAGATTCAAAGCAGCGCTTTCAGGAGAGCTGTAATGGCCTGTGGACAGAGGAGTGGTACAAACACACTAGCCATATTTTAATTAAAATAGAATTTATTAGCTTTTCTTTTAATATAAACATGGGAAAGAAAAACCACAATCAATACTTGAATCTCTAAGCTCTGAACTCCATAAACAATGTATTTTGAGGTGGTAGATTGTAATATTTCATACATCCTTCCTTAACATTTATGTCTGTCCTTTATAAATGATGAACCTGGCAGCACTTGAGAGCGTGTGTAACATTGCAGCCTTAAGAGAAAGTATTCTTGCCCCACAAAGGTCCTGTTTACAGGTAAGATTTCCACGGTTACATGTGAGAGAAATAGAATGTACACATGTAGAACACAAATCTTTTATTATTTCAGATTTAGGCGCTGCTGTCATCATTTCCCCAATCATTTACTCCCTGCCTTTTAAAGCCTGTGCTTAGGGTACAGTTTAGAAGATGTCTGCACCTGGGCCAACAAGCAGGATAGATCTTTAATTGCTCATTTCTCCTGCTGTTTGAGGATCTGATTTCTTTTCATTTGTTATATGTGAGTTAATACTGCTTTTCATAACCCTCTTAACTGAATGTAAAGACACTTTGGTGATCAAAGCAGTTAGCGCCCAGCCTGGCAAAGAATTACTTGAAAAAAAAAAAAGAGTGCTTCCATAGAAATACAAGGCAGCTCCCAAATCTCAATGCAGTTGTCAGCTCTGACACCTGTAGAATTATAAATGCTACAAACTAATGAAACATTACTTAAAAGTTTTAAGTTACTTTTCAACTTAATTCCCCAAATTTGGAATACTAAGCCTTTAATTTTAATTTTTGGTTCATAGTTTGCAATCTTCAAGAGAAAAATTAAATTAGCTTAATTATTTCAAATTGGTAAGATTAAAACTTTCAAATGAGGTTTTTTGAAAGTTTGTGGCTTTTATACTTCTGCTGCAGTGTCCCAGAGAGTCCAGACACAGTTCCGTAAGTATGAAGCTATCAGTAATTTGGGGGACACCTTGTATTTTTGCCATTTGATCATGATCACTGGACTGCTATGTTGTTTGGCATTATGAAAATATCTTTTAATACACTTGTTTAACAAATAAGAGAAAAATCATCAGAAAATGAGAAGCACCATTTCACAGGAAATGCAGCATGGACCCAACAGAAATAATCAACAACTGATGTTTTCTCTCTGTGGCTCCAAACATACCAAAATGCTAGCAAACGTGACTGCAAAGAGTACGAATGGTCAGTCTCAGCCAGCGGCTTTCTGGTAAACTGACTGCCAATAATGGCTAGCAGCCCAGATGATACAGTGGAGAACCGTTACTACCTACTGATGCTACAATCTGCTACCAGGTGGTTTTACGAGTGTTACGTACCCCATGTTTGGGGCTGAGGTGTAGCTCAGTGCTCAAATGCTCACCAAGCACAGGCCAGGCCCCCAGTTTGATTCCCAGCACCACAAAAATGGGGAAGGAATCTCATGTTTTAATGGTAATACTGAACAATTCTAAAAGCGTATGCAGCAGTTGGGTGGGTGGGTGGCGGGGGGTGGCAAGAAAAACAAGAAAAAAATATTTTATGGTTAGTGTCTTTAAAGTCTAAAAGTTTGAGCCAGGCACGGTAATCCCAGCACTTGGGAGGTAGAGGCAGGAAGATTAGGAGTTAAAGGCCAGCCTCAATCTTATATTGAGTTTGAGGCCAGCCCAGGCAATGTAAGACCCTGTCTCAAACAAAAGTCTAAAAATTCAAACAATTTCAAAACCTCACATATTTCACAGCCATTGGCCTACATGGTAAGCAATATCTGTGTGGTCAGAGCTTTTGCTTTGGAGTGGTTTTTGTAACTGTTTACATTACAAAGGACAGAGAGTGGTTGCTTTGACAAGGTCCCATTCTTTCCTATGGAGTCAGCAGTCACTGTCCAGAGTCTCTTGAATCGAGGTCTTTCGCTCGGTGGAGCCCCACCTCTGCTGGCCTCTGACCAGGAGAAGTGCTCTCTCTCCAGCCTTGTCACTGAGGAGCTCCCGGTGTTGTCACTCCTCACGTCTCTCTCCATTAAGAGAGGATGGCATTAGAGCGCTGCATCCCAATGAAATTATCAGCGCTTAAGGATCTTCTCATAGCAGCTCTACACAAGTCTTTGTATTTGTCTTCACACAATCTTGAAATGGCCTAGGAAAGGCAATTAAACAAGAGAGGTTTAAAAAAGAATGCAACTTTGAGGAAAACATCCAAACAAAAAGCAACACAAACTACTTCCATGGAGCAGGCAGGGGACCTAATGATACTAAGTCATCCTTCACATTTTAAACAAATGCAGCCACGTGCATTATCTGAAGATGGAGGTCTACAGCACAATGTCCTGGGGGATGCTACTTCCTGCTAGTTCATTCATCTTTTCAGGGTCATGCCTCACTGCCTGGAAAAGGAAACTTTATTAAGTTACTGGAGAGATGGCCCAGTGGGTAAAGCGCTGGCTGTGCATGATGAGAACTTGAGGTTGCACCTTTGGTATGCATGTAAGGTGCCAGGCAGGGTGGCAAATGCCTCTAATCCCAGTGCTAGGAGGTGGTAAAACAAGGATCCCAGGGCCTCAATGGTACCTCTGGCCATCACACACACACACTTCTCAAAGATGTAGTCACATGCTTTCACATTATTATCAAGTTACTTGTGTAACTTTCTTAAACATGAGTATACTCAGTTTTCATTGGTCTAACAACAAGGTTAACAAGGCGGGCAAATTCTATATTTGATGGCAGGAGTCTAATCACTAAAGCATCTAAGTTGTTATTTCTTTTTTTTTTTTAAAGTTGCTATTTCATTAGCACATTAATAGTAGGAAAACATTCTAAATTATCAAGGTGCTTAAGGAAGTTCCATTCTAAAGTATGTGAATCATTGTGACATATATTTACTAAAAATTTTAAGCCATAAATATTATTTTGCCTTATCTAAGTGAGCACTTTTATTTTTATTTACGACTGTGGTAGGGAGGTAGGGGAAGGCTACATGGATGCCTAAAGGTACTTGATCCCTGAGCGTTGGAGTTACAGACAATTGGGAGGCACTAGATATGACTGTTGGTATTTGATTTGAACTTGACCCTCTAGAAGATCAGGAAGCATGCTCCAACCTCTGAATCTCTCTGGCCTCCATAACCACTTTCATGAAAACACAATGTACTTTCTATACTCAGTATGAGAAACACACATGCATTATGCATCCCTAAACATACATCTCTCAGTGTGGACACTAATGCTGTCTAATAAAACTCATGGTATCTAAACTTGGACAATTTGCCAACTGAGTGAAATGCAGCAGAGCTGTGATATGCAGGCAGGAATAACTAAGGACATAATTTTAAGAAGTTACCTGTAAGTGGTTTTTTGGGAATGCAGAGCTTCAATGGGGAAACTATTAAAACTACATTACATTTTATTAAAATGACTCTGAATTATGATCACAGGAGGTAGTATCTACCTTCTGTCTATAATGTAGGTACTTGTAGAACTCATAAAAGGCCCAGAAAAATATGATGCCAAAGTTAGCATGAAGAAGATGATAACCTCTTCAATGTCTTCCATTGCCTTCATGGATGCTGGCAGGGTAGCTCACAGAAAACCCGACTTAGTGATCGCACCTCTTACCTCTAGGTTCTGTGCTCTTTCCTTGCTGAGAGGCGCAAACAGAAAATTCAGGTTGTTGTCATCTGCTAAGGAGCGAAGGTCAAAGTAGTATTTGGCATAAACACTGGCAGGAACATTAATATTAAATTGGAGCAGCTCCAAGAAATGCCTTTCCATCTCATTCCTGGAGGAGGAGGAACACAGCAAAACTCACACAGGACAATTTTAGTCAACTGGGCTGTCTTCAAAAGTATCATTCAGAGCTTCTAGAATAGCTTTAACTGCTGTTTTGGAACACGTGAAGGCTACCCAGCCAGATTAATATACTAATGCTCAAACAAGGTACAGCTATTCATGGTCCTTTCTGCATCCCAGCACTCTTATGAGTTTGGCTGGAGGGGAAAAGGTTACAGCCCTCTCATGTGCTTGTGCTGCTGACTTGCAGGCTCATTCTTCAGAGTTCCATTAGTGCAGCTGTACGATTCATACTCTACGCTCACTCACAAGGCCCGCTATAGTGAGCAGATGAAAGGAATGATGTATGCTGTTTATTAGCTCTGAAGAACTTGCAGACATTTTCACCAGGCTGATAACAGGAAGGGGCTTATTGAAGTAGAGAAGCGCCAACAAAAGGAGTGGGCACATCACCACGGCAACAAATGGATCCATCGAGAGCCACGCTATTATCTCTGAGGGGGAAAAACTCTTGAGGCAACAAGGATTCATCTCAAATAAATAAATAAATAAATAGGCCACACTGGATGGGAAAGGAAATCCCTTCCCTCTGCCCTAGCACATGAGGCTATGTCAAAGGGCATAATGCAAGTTTCTGCTCACCTTAATACTGCACGAAGGTGACAAACTGTCACTATGACAGTTAAGATACTCACTTTAAACTCGGAAAAGCAGAGAGATCAAAGACAGATGCCTTGGCTACACTAAACCCACTTTAGTATACTACGCCTAGTAGAGCACTGGACCAGCAAACCCGGTTCCAGTACTACAGGGGATAAAACCCCCAAGACGTGCAGCATTGGCTGCCCTAGCTGGGGCTGTGCACAGAGAGGTGAGCTCAATAAGGTGGGAAATATGTGTGGGTGTGCGGAGGGGGAGAGCAGCTCTGTATTGTGTGACCATGCTGACCTTGCTGAAGATTTAATAAAAACAAAATTAGAGTAAACCTTGACTAGTCATAATCCTCTGAAGAAATTATAGACAAGTTATAAATACTTAAACAAACATGACAGAGGCTTATCTTAAACATACTTGGTTTTTTTAATTCTAAAATTTTAATATTTTCTTCACTAAGTGCCTAAAAAGTATCTATATGGAAAATAGGTAAAATATGGTTTTCTTATTTGCTGAAATTAAAGCCAAACATCCTACTTCCAAAATTAATTTCCTGCTCATATGGCAATAAGCGTATAGAAATGTAAATCAGATAATGTTTTGATAATCAGGTAATCAAGACTTAATTTGCTACTGAAACAAACGTACTTCACTATCCCTTTTATATTTCCTCCACTCATACATTTTAACTGTGTTGAAATCCAGTCCTTCATGGGATTAACATGTCTGTTAATAGAGGTTTAATCACTGAAGAAAAGCATTATGCCAACAGAATATGCACCTTCTGGGTTTTCGTTTTTTTGTTTTGTTTTGTTTTTTTACATGCCTGAATGACATACCATTTACAGGCACAGCACATTTTCTGAGCAGCAGCTGCCTAGTTAACTTACTCTTTTGAACAAAAATACATCCTAACAAAACACATACATGGTGGAAAGTTTTAAGAAAAATCTTATAGACACTGATTTTTAACTTTTAATTTAGACTAAAAATAAGGGCAGTATAAATAGCCAACAACGGAAAAAGGAGACAAATGTATATTAAGCTTGTAGTCAAGCTCTTCAGTTCTCAAAGATCATAAACAAAAGGCGACTCTTAGGAACATGGCTCCTGGTGTTTCTCTGTTCATAACAAAAGGGTTGTGAGTACCAGAGCCTCAGCCCCAGCCACCACTGCCCTGCAGTAGGTTCAGAGCTGAGAATCCCAAACATTTTACTGAGTCTTTTCTGATCTTACAATAACTAGAGCCTCTGGTATCTGAGTTTTTTTTTTTTTTTTTTTTTTAAGTTTTGTTCTTGTTTTTCGAGACAGGATTTCTCTGAGTAGCTTGGGTTGTCCTAAACTTACTTTGTAGACCAGGCTGGGCTTGAACTCACAGGGATCTGAACTGCCTCTGTCTCCCTGAGTGCTAGGATTAAAGGTACGCATGAGCTAGCATGCCTGGCCTGAGTTTTAAGATATTTTTAGCTGCTGTGCATAGTATATATGATTATGCATTTTGCTTTTTCCTACAGAGCAGTTTGTAGCCCACTAACACAGGGATCAAAGTCACTCTGGCCTCAGTAACTTCCCAAAGCGTATCTATTTATTTCAGATTCTTTTGTTGTTACATCCTTTGCTAAAATGGCTCCTAGTGTCACAATCACTTTTGAAAGAGGTCATTTTCACCACACACTCCAGTTGCCATCACCAGTGGTCCCTTAGTTACTTCAGTTATAAAGAGTTTGGTAATTTTGACCGACAGTCCTAACTACCGAAACGGGTAACTTCTATTATCCTTATAAGGTGTCTTCCTATGATGCTCAATGAAGTCAAGGGGTTTCTTCATAACCACGCTATTTCTTAAGCGCTCCCCACAAAGACATTTTCACTGTCAAGTGGGCACTTTCAAGAGGATTGCTGGAAACCTCTCTCCTGTGCTCATCCTGTTTGCAAACTTCTCAACCTTTTTACAGCCCCAGGCTAGTGGTCATCACTAAGGCCATGCTCTCCGTGATCTTGAGGCCTGCAGAGTGCTGCTATGACCGGGCGAGTGCCCAGTGTGCTCATAACCCGGTGAATCTTCTGAGCTGCTTCAAGGACCACGCGCACTCCTGGTGCTTCCCTGGCCCAGGAGATCAAGCTCTAAAAACAAACAACACTCCACATGGAGAGGAGGCAGGAGCATCTCCTGCAGCCTTCACCTTTGTACGTCTAGTTCCTGTTACAGACACTCAGATTTAAAAATAAAGAGAGAAGAGAAGCAGCACAAGTAAATACACAATGAATGACTCAGGCTGAAGGTAAACCTTACAGAAGTCTAGAGACTGACATGAACACTGGCAGGCACAATTCAAAAGACAGGCATGTGCTCTCAAAAAGGGAGAGGAACTGGTGACTTTTAAAAAGCAGTAATATTTTTGGTTGTGACTGTGCTATGCTGTCTTTGCAAGGGTCACCAAAACCATGAGAAATTATTTAAGTTATCAAGCACATTATTACACATAGCAAGACCTACTAATTCATGATGGAAGCTACAAACTGTTATAAAAGAATGTAGTTTTATGTCTATTTCTATTGTCTGTTTAAAACTGCCCTTAAAAACACTCTTTAAATTTTATGTAAAAAATTTATGGGAGAAAATTAATAGTACTAGAAGAATGGTTAGGAGGCTCACTCAGACCTTATGTACTCACATGTCCTCAACTGTGATGTCCTTGAGGATCTGGCAGTAGTCCACATTCCACACAGCCTGGTCATCCCAAACCTTGGAGGCAAGAAGAATGGCTCCCAGAACAATTCTTTTCCAGTTGGTGGGGCAGATGTCGATCTCAGCGTAAGTTAAAAGCCTCTCTAAGTAAACCTGCGAAAGAGAGCACTGGTCTTTGATTTAGTTCAGCTTCAGCGATGACTGTATGAATGATGGCCTCCTCTGTGTTTGATTAGGCAGTTCTGCAGAGACTTTGCTCTACCTCAGCATGAGGGCCAGATCTGAAGTCAGACATCCCTGCTGCCAACCCTGCTCCTGATCAGAGCAAGGACTGGCACACAGTGAAGGGCATGCTAAAGAATGGAAGTGACACCATCTTTATGCTTGCAGAGCAGCAAACAGCAGATTCAGGCTGTTTATTAAACCCCAAGTCTCTCACATCTTACATTGTATATACATGCTATGCTTAAATGTATAATACCAAGTCACCGTGAGCACATTAAAATCTTTCCAGTTCATAATAACCCTTGTGTGGAACTAGGACAAGAGAGCCGCCCAGTGGCTGCTGGGTAGAACTGCACCACAGGCACAGTGCCTTATAAAGAACCACCTGCACCCAAGGATGGTCAATCATTCCCTCTCACTTCCTAAGGAGCCATTTTCCCTCTTACATAATCTGCAACTTCATTAATTTTCTTGGCTTTACAGTGCTAGCAAAGTTGCCAGCCTACTTCTGGAACTCTTATTCCTGCCAGGCAGATCGTGAGCCACTCTCATGGATGATCTTAAACATTTCAAACACCTATGCTACAAGCAACTGGGTGAGGTTAGTTGAGTAAAGATTGTGAAAGAAGCTGGGAACTGTTACTTCAGAAGTTTCTCTACAGAACATCATACAGTTGTCCCTTGGTATCCTAGGGAGACTGCTTTTAGGACCAAATTCTGCCCAGGCTTAAGACCCTTATATATGGCAGTGTTTGCATGTAACACCCCCTTCCTTGCTTTGTGAGACAGGGTATCACTACGTAGGTCAGGCTGGCCCTGAACCCATGATCTTCCTGTTCCAGGCTCAAGTGCTATCATGGATGAGCCATTTGATGATCAGTCCTGTATGTTTTAAATCACCTCTAGATTAGTGACAATACTAAATATAATATAATGTAAATGATAATGCAAATGTAACTTTGGAAAATGACAAGAAAAGCTCATTTGTGATCTACAGTGGTAGAAACCAGATGCTGAGCTAAGGTGTGGAAGTCAGCCCATATATGGTATATATAAGTACTTTTTATCAAGATAAAAGGCAAAAAAGGAGTTTTCTTTTAAAAGTTAGTCATTTTTTTAAATGTCATTAGACTAGTGGCTCAGATTTGGTAATGTTCTCCAAACTCTGTTTCCAAACACAAATGTCTAACAAATATTATGTATCCTTCATGAGATTATCCCCAAACTCGGAACTCTCATCTTATCTGAGAAATGAATCTCTCTCCCTCAGAGTACCCCTGTTCTTCACAGAAATATTCAGACTGAGCACTGCCAAACCTCGGCTGCCCTTTCCTAACAGGTAGGTACTGGCACTCAGTCTAACACTTGTCCTCTCGTGTCAGTGGAAGATAGGGCTTTCTTCTCCCCAAACCAAAGCCAACTCTTCTATTTGGTGGGCCTGATTCCATCCCACTGTGCACAACATTCTTCCCTCAACAGCTGGAAGTCTTTCTCCCTCTGCCAGAGATCAGTTCAAAGTAAATGTTTAGGTTGCTCTGATGTCACTTCCCACAATTCCAAGTACTGCTTCTCAAGCCCACTTCAGATCATGCACATGGCCAGCCCACTGCTTACTGTACCCACCTGTGTCTACCTCTGGCTGATGTCACTATTCTGAAACAGCTCTTGCCATGCAGCTCATCAAGGCCTACACCTAAAAACCTACTTCACCTTCACCTACTTCAGCTTTCCACTTGCCTAGGCATAGAAGCCCAAACCCTTATGTTATCCTACTCCAGTCTGCAAGCAACAACTGTTCTTGCTATCTTCAATGGTAACTTAACAACTTTCTATTCTGGGCCAATTTTCACTGCTTGCCTGATTCATTACCATATGGCATCCTAACACTCTGCTTGCCTCTACTCTGACCTCCAATTACAGTCCACCTCTCCAAAGACAGGTAGGAAAGGTCCCAAATTAAGATCATTTTTTTCCTTGCTCAAGACTTACCAAGAGTTACTAATCAACCTGGAACCTATTTTCCTGTAAGACTGTCCCTGGCATCTCTCCTTCATTCCCCAGAGCCTCACTCCCACCACATGGCCACCCTGCTTTCCTTGAGCACATGGAATGGTCCTGCATCATATTCTTGCCCGGTGGTTCTCAACCTTCCTAATGTACAACCCTTTACTATGGTTCATGTTGTGATGACTCCTAACCATAAAATTACTTTTGTCACTACTTCATAATTCTAATTTTGCTACTGTTTTGAATCGTAATGTAAAATATTTTTGGAGACAGAGGTTTGCTAAAGGGGTCACGACCCCACAGGTTGAGAATCACTCATCTCACACTATCCTACTGTCTATAATACCTACGCTCCTTGGCTTCACTCTTTGCAGTTCGGCCACTGTTCAAATGCCACTTCTAAAACAGAAAATTCTTGAGTCACTCATGAGCCCTTTACCAGGCTTGATTTTCAGGTAGTTGTTTCATGTCAACTACCTGAAACAAACATCTGCAAAACACCTGTGGTCTTCGTCACTAGTACATACACTCTTGAGGCAAGACTTTTGTTCCATCTGCTCTCTTCTCTGCCCTGGTGCTACAACAGGGTGTAGAGGAACTGTTCAGGGTATATGGCTGTAGCTTTTTTTACGGCATTTGCCATTGTGGGAATGTTCTTATCTTGCCTTCTATTACTCATTCTTGAATTTCCTTCTGGTGTACTTGGCCTCCTCCCCTACAGGCTTATCTCCCAAACACTCATGGTAGATCTGTTAGGGCTGTCCATTTTCACTGCTAATGTTCTCCACATTTCAACAAACACTTTTAATTCTTTACCTCTGATTCAAATTCATTCTGCAGTCCTGTATATTCAAAGGACCACTCTCTTCTTCCAGGAACGGCTGCTTTCCTTGTTTACAATAACCTCCCTCCCCTGTCTTCTTCCAACCCAATTTCCTTCTTGCATTCCCTACCTCCCCAGCAGAAGTGCCCACTGGGGAATTCTACTCATGCATACATATGTCTCCAATTCAGACCCCAACTGGATGCTAAACGAACAGGTAGAAATATTTCCTCAGAGCCACACATTTGACTTTTCACTATGCATTTGCTGCAGGGGCAGTAAAATACCAGCCACTTGAACAGCATTCATTACTCAAAATGACAGTCTTACTACAGTCTTTCTGAATGGATAAGATAAAGCACACACCTGTAGCCTCGCAAGCTCACAATGCCTTTCTAAGAACTACTAGTACTATAATCCTGGGCAACTTCATAGGCAAGCCCGAGTAATCAGCAGAGGTGGGTTAGCACCCATCAGCCAAGGAACAGAGAACGGAGCGGTCATCAGTCACAACACACACCAGAAGTGCCCGGGCAATACAGCCTGGCATGTGCCTTAAACTGCACTGAATGGTTTCAGTGAACCACTTGGGTTTGTTACTGCTTCCTAGTCCAGTCCCATTAACATGTTCTGTGTCTGTGTACTGAGGTATAAAGGAGAACTCTCTCACTGCCTATAGTAGCAATTGTTTTGGGAAAATAAAAGCAATGGCAACATTTTAAAGCATAATAACTGTTATATTCAAATGTGTGTCTTCACGTTGCTTCAGAAGGTTCCTCTTATTAAAGTTCCTATGATAATTTCAGTGATTAAACATACCTGGGTACAAACTTTTTAATGAAGCTTGATAAGACAGGAACAGCTTACCAGTGTCACTATTGCACATTCTGCTGTCAGCTGTGCAGCACTAAAAAGCGTACGAACAAATCTGTAAATAAATTTGTGTTCAGGGTCATGCTTAAAGTATTCCTCTGGAACTTTCTCTCTCTGCAAGAAAAAAAATGACAATATTAATATTGACTGAAGGAAATAGTATTCTTAAGATAGCAATCTCTACACTGTGCCCACCTGTTACTTAAAATAATTTCAACTGGCTGCTTTTAAAGCATTTATTGTGTATATTTGTGTATGGGCATGCACAGCCCTGGTACACACATGAGGTCAGAGGACAACTTTAATATTAGAGTCGGTCTCTACCTTCAATCATATCTGGGAGTCAAATACAGATGCTCAGGCTTGACAGCAAGTGTGTTTACCTGCTGAGCCATCTTGTTGGCCTGGGTGGTATGACTTATTTCACTTTTTTGTTTTGAGGCAGGGTTCATTTTGTAGCCTTGGCTGTCTATGTAGATCAGGCTGGCCTTGAAATCAGAGGTCCACCTGCCTCTTCCTCCTGAGTACTGAGATTAAAAGTGTGTGTCACCATGCCCAGTGACTTTCAGTTTTTTTCAATATAAACAGTGTGGGCCCTTATAGTCAATTGGCATGAATGACATATCTGGCAATGATGAACCAATCTATAATATCAGTTCCATAAAATATCAATGAGTAATACTATTACCATCTTAGATGAAGTGCTCTACGATTTCTGTAGAGTAATGACATCACCTAGCACATATCTGAGGATGTACCCACTGTGGAGCAACATATGGCTGTCCCATAATTGTTCATATATACCCACCACCCATCATTTATTAAAGAAACGCAAGCACAGCATCAGGAATTTTATACACTCCCATTTTCCTCCACAGACTCTCCCAATTCTTTTTATGCTGAAATCTCACTGATCCTAAAGTGTCACAGGTGTCACAGATGCAATAAACTTTGAAAAAAAATTTTTAAGAGCCTATTAACACTGAATTGTCCACATAAGAGTCATCAGTCATGTGTGCTTCTTCAGTATCAAGAGTGGCTAACCTATGCCTGAGGTAGTGACTTCTTAAATGCTTATAGTTCTTTGGTTGTTTTCAAGTCAGGGTCTTACTATGTGACACTTACTATGTAGACTATACTTCAAGTCACTGTCCTGCTTCAGGCTTCAAGGTACTGAAATTACAGGTGTACCCAAACCACACCTGATTTAAGCCATTTTAAAAAAAGATTTATTATTTATACAGCATTCTACCTGCATTTGTGCCTGCAGGCCAGAAAAGGGCACCCGATCTCATTATAGATGGTTATGAGCCACCATGTAGTTCCTGGGAATTGAACTCAGGACCTTTAGAAGAACAGCCAATGTACTTAACCATTGAGCCATCTCTCCAAGGCCCCAACCCCACTTAAGGCATTTTAACTAATTTAAGATTTCCTAATTTTCTTGGAGATTTTTTTTTACATATTTGTTGTATTTATTTACAAATATTTATACTACTTGACATTACTGACGATTATCTTTTGAAAAGCTGATTTAGACAATACATTTACTTCTCTTAGCTCACTACTTGAACAAAGCACCAGGCCAGCTGTTACTCTATCATAGCCATACAACACTTCTCCTAACTCAAGCTAGAGGGCCTGCCTTCCTCCTGGAATTCAGCTGCAAAACAAGCAAGTATGAAGTAAACACAATTCTAGGAAAGAAAAATACGACTTAACACACCTTTAATCTAAGCACTCTGGGAGGCATAGGCAGGTGGATCTCTGAGTTTGAGGCCAGCCTGGTCTGAAGAGTGAGTCCACAACACCCAAAGCTACACAAAGAAACCCTGTCTCAGAAAACAAAACAAAAGCAAACAAATACTTACTGTGAGTGGATGCGATCGCTCATCAAAAATGTCCAGGGATCTATCTGCATCTCTGTAACATTTAAAAGGTTACACAGGATGTGTCAGTATCTTAGTTAACAAGTACTGGATGTAGGGGAGATTGAGAGGGGACGCCCAATCTTTAGCAATGTGAGCCCTTTACAATTCCTCCTGGATGCCAGTCTGAAAACCTTTTTTTTACTCAGTACTGTGGCATCTTTGCCAATTAGTGTGCCTGTAAAGTACTGGCAACCCCTAACAGGCAGTGCCAATAACCAAATTGTATTTCTCTTTCTCATATAAGGCAATGGCAGATGTTCCAGAACTTAGAATTTTGATGAATGTGAACAAAATGTAAATTTCACAGGTTTCTGCCCCATTTCAGTTTTCTGCACTTGCTTCTTATAAACAGCATGAATTAAAGCTTAGTTGCCCATTTCTTTTAAAACACCAATTTTGTTTGTTTGTTTCTTTTGTTGCTTTGCGTAGAGGTTCATTAAACTAGAAAGCATAACACGTATTTAAGCATGGCTCCTCTGCGGTTGTGGGCTCAGGAGATTCCCTGAGTGGGAGGGTACATGGCCCCAAACTGTTCATCACGTTAAAGCTTTCCCTGCTTCTTACCGCTCAAAGTTTGTGGTGACTGTAAGAAGAGGCTTCCTAGCACGAACCAAGGCTCTGCCAGCACTCTCCTCAGGCACGTCTGCTTCTCAAGCCTGCTGCTGCACTCAGACGTCTTTGATAAAGCAGGCTAACTAACGTCCCTAAATCCTGACCCTTCTTTTTAATATTCTGCGTGAGGAAGTGGAAAGTTCCCATGCAGCATTTGTCATTTACTTTTGGCCTCAACCAGCCCTTTATTACAGAGTATCACTTTTATGTGTAACTGCAAATACTCTCAAAACTGCATGTAGTGGGCCTGTCACTTTGAGGAAAATGATTTGTCATAAAATTCAAGCTGTCAAGCTTTTTAAAAGCCAAAATTGGGAACCTGTGCCTTCCGCTGTGCATTTTAGAGCTTTTTAGTGCTCACAGTTTTTGCTAAGCACTGAAAACAAAAGCTTTTAACATCATACACAACAGTGACTCATTATTTTCCATATGACCAGGATGTGTCATGCTATAGACTAGTTAAAGACTCACTTACTACTCAAGATAGAGATCAATGAGAATAATGTAAGAGTTCACTGAGAAATATAAAATTCTATTACAAGAAACATCCTTATGCAGCTTTAGCATAGTACTAGAGAGTATAAAAAAAAAATCTGAAAGCTTTAAAAATAACTTCCCCTCAAATGTATATGAGAGAGGAGGAATGGCTTTTCTTGTTTCTTTAAAACAAAATGAAAGTGAAGACAGAGAAACAGAAAATCTACTTGTCTTTCTACTAAGTTATACATTAAAGAGATTTATAAAAATGCAAGTGAGATGCTTTCTCTCATTTTTTTTATGCAGAAAAAGCCATTTTTCAAAAGAAATTACATTAAGAAGACGGTTCTTTGTTGTGAGTTTCGATTGTCACAATGAGATCAAACAATTATAACATTGTTAAACATCCTACAATGCATGCAGAGGAGACACCATAACAAGAAGATAGTTATAAGTTAGTACAAACAAGTTCAAAAAAATCCTGTGCTAGTTACAATGTATACTTTTAAATTTTAATATATATAAACCAGCAAGTATAAATATAATAAAGCCATACTGTTTAAAACCTTTAGTAACTAAAGAGTCTTTAAAGGGTCTTAAGAACAGGGAACTCTAATAGAAGATTCTATATCTACTGGTTCCTATGGTTAATTCTGCTATCTGCTATTAGCAGATAATTAGCTGGAAGAGGAAGGCAGTTTGAGATGCTCACCTGTTCTTTATGTGGTAATATATTGCTAAGGTCACACTGTGGAAGGAAAAAAAAATGATTTGAAGAAACTTATTTATCATTTTTAAGCAGGGTTGACTTTCCAAGAAGCCCAGAAGTCTTGTAGTTAGAATAGTGCCTTAGACTTAGACAGGACACTTACAGTGCTCTGACTTGTTATACAACTAGAAGCAAACACTAGACACATCATGGCTTTAGAAGGCATGCTTCTGCTGACTGTGGTCATGTGCAAATGCTTACATATCCCCCCGTCATTGCCCTTCTACCTGCAGAATCTTTTGTTCTGTGCAAGTTGTAGTATTTGTACATATGCTTAAGTTTAAAACAGTAGGGATTTATAGTTCGCTATAGTCCATTTAACCACCACAGATACTTAGCTCCCTAGTAATGAAAAGTTCTGCATACTGAATAAAAGCATTTGGAACCATTTCTGTATATTATTAGAAAACTTAGTAAATGTGAGTGAGCGTCCACAAATCTGCTGATAGGGCCGGCTGTCTCAAAACAAGAAAGTAGTGCTTTCAACACAGCACAATGGTATAGTATTAATGGCAGGTATTTCCAAATTAGTTTAAGTGAAATATTAATAAGTAGACATAACCCTCTAGATACTGTATTATTCTACTCCTAAGTTTGCCACAGATGATGTTAACTAGAGAACAAAGTTTTTTTTGTTTTGTTTTGTTTTGTTTTTTTGCCATTTGGCTATACCATCTAAAATAAAAACTCAAAATATTTGAGGGAAGGCAAATCTGAATTTTAGTAGTTGTATGTATTTTAAATTTAAAAATTTGAACTTTGTAGCACTATTGGCATCAAAGATGGATACTTCTACAGTGCTTCAGTTTTACCTTCTGACTGATTTTAAAATCACACACACACACACACACACAGGTTCTGAAAAGGACCACTAATACTTACATGACAGTTTATCTAACCACCACTTTTACAAAAAGAGAGGGAACCATTACTTAAATCTGATGAATCTAAGGTCCCACAAAGTAGGCAGGCACAGTTCTTTATTCTCCTTAAGCAGTAGCTTCCAAACTTTGCCTCACACCAGTCACCTTGGTTTAAGGCTAGCCCAAGGTATTCTGATCAATTGACATTGGGCAAGGCTTGGCTATCAAGATTACTCTGAAGTTCCCAGGGTGATTCCACTGTGCCAAAAAGTTTGAGAAGGGGTTATGCTAAGATCAAAAAATTTGCCTGGACACTTTTTTGCTGATGTAATTAATGCCTCACATGCAACTCCTTTCTGAATGTCACCTGAACATGTCTATGAATTAAAGGAAAGGCAAAAATGAGAAAAATGCACATGCTCACAGACCCGTATATTCTTTTCTTTTAAAGATTTTACTTATTTGTTAATTTTATGAGTGCTCCAGCTGCATGTGCAGCTGCATGCCAGAAGAGGGCATCAGACCCCAGTAGAGATGGCTGTGAGCCATTTCTCCAGCCAGCATTTTCTTTTTCTTAGAGACAAAGCTGATGTTGGCCCCAAACTTGCTATGTAGCTGAAGATGCTCTGGAAACCCCAGACCCTGCCACCTCAGCCTCCAGTTCCTGAGATTACAGCTGTGATGAGCCAGTACACTCACATGCAGGCACGTGTTGACTCTCCTTCAGTCACGCATATCGCCTATGATAAACATTTTTCAAAAAAGCCAATTTGCTCGAATTTTCTTGGTAAATATTTCACAATAAATTGACTTTTAAAATTTAGTTAAAGAAAGTAAATTAAAACTGTACTTTCAAAAGTGGATTTCTAAAAGTTAGGCTACACTGGGGTTGGGAGATGGGCATGACACCTATTGGTTTGACCAAAGTCACTCTTTAAAATATATGAATTACATACAAAAACTTCAGAACCACTCAAAACGATCTGAAGACTCTAATGAAACTTCAACGATCTTTTTACTCACAGACTGAAGCTTTTCTAAAAACCAACCCTCAGTGATTACTGTTCAGACAACAAACTCAGCACTTTCAGAGCTGTGGCTCAATTTTTGCTGAAACACAATTTAATCTCAACTGCTGTTTTAAGTGTGAAAGGAAAGATATATTATGATGAATAAAAACTTACAGTTTTTCAATGAAGAAATTACTGGTAATTGGCCAAAAAAAATTAAAAAGCTAGTGTATTAGAAACAAAATTAGGATTATAAGCCAATTATGTTTTTTAGACTGAGAAGTAAAATTAGAAACAAAAGCATTAATACTCTAAACAAGCATTTCCCAAACTATGTTTAAAAAAAAATCAATACTTACAAACCCAAGGACTACTTATTTCTTGGACAACTCCAATGCAGTGGGGAAGCTCTGCACTTTTCTTTAGTCATAGACCTGAACTCATCTCATGTTTCTTAGGCATCACCTCCAACTACAACCTGTGTACTACAGTGCTGGGAGGGGACAACTGTTCATTCCAAGAGTAGTTGCCAAAGCAGTACGTATTATTTTAGGCCTCTAACTAATTAATCTAGAAACATCTATTATGTTCAACAGTACTTTCACAATAAAGATGCACCCAACAGAGGTATACTTTTCCTGGAATTTCTTATTTGCTAATTATTTGCTAACTGGCTCTCCTTTCCACCATGCAGTCTAAGAGAAAATGGAAACTGAAAATTTACACTTAGTCCCTTAAAAATCAGTATCTAACGGACTCCAATTTCTTAAACTGAGTGCTTAACAGGATAATCAAATGACTGAATTGACCAAAAATGGCTGGGATGCTTTTAGCAGAGGGGTCTGTCACTCAGCGCTCGGCAGCCTAGTTGTACTCACCATTTTATTGTGGTTCTAAGGTTAGGCTGGCTGACTGTGCTGTCATCTAGAAATATTGTTGAGCATGAGCTATACTTTTTAGTAAGCTGCCCTGGAGATACCTGAAGGGGAAGGGAAATAGAAGAAAATGTCACGGTAAGTTAAATCTATAAAATGTGTTTTTTCCTTGGTTAAAATGTCAAATGATAAAGCATTAAGGTAGTTTTTACAGTACATGAGTGAGTGCAACAGCCTGATGCAACAGCATGCGTGGCTTTGCAGGAAACCCACTGGAGGCTTTGACTGTCCACAGGTCATATTGAGGAATGGGTTATAAAATTTGCCTTCAGTATGGTTCCTGTGAATCAAACCTGGCAAGTATCTATTATCAATTTCCTTTATAAACATTATAAAAAGTTTTAAGGTTTCAGTGTTTTTTTCTTAAACAAAAGGCAGCTTTCTACTTCTATATAGTCAACTATAATAAAATATAATGCCTTAAATACTGGCACAAGAGCATCTTACTATAGTAAATACAAGGTGAATAATAAACTTCGTAGTGGCTGAAATGGTGTGCCTGGCTGCTCAAGCCAACAAGCTAGGTGGTACAAGTTTCTCTGGGCCATTCCCTTAAGCAGTAACATTTCCTCACATCTGAAAACAGAAGGCAAAAGCAACTTGGGGACATTAACTTTCATTTCATATATAAGCATACTACCATTATGTTCCTTAAATGAAGACCTCAAGTGTTATTGTTTTTCTCTCTAAAGTTATTTAGCATGCATCACGACACCTTCCTGATGCTCTCTGCCATGGATGCCTCCCTTAGTCCTCCATCTATCTTCCAGCATCTCTCTGCCTACAACCATGGTACAAAATGTTTCTCTTTGGGTATTCCTAAACTGCTTCTCCACAGGAAGACTCTCAATGCTCTACACCCAAATCTGAGCACACAATCGTAACAGCTTATGAAGTTCAAGCATTTGAAGAGCTGTTCGTTAAAAATTGTCAGGTTGGGAATGTAACTCCTGGTAGACCACTTGACTAGTATCGTTGGGGCCCTGGGTTCAACTCCAGTATTGAAAAGTTAACTATAATCTGGGAGATAACTCTTCCTACGATATATAGTGGCACTGCAATGAAGACAATTGATTTTCTGAGCCTTCTCAACTATCTGTAAAACACTTTAGAAGTATCCATTCATTTGCAAAGTATGCAAGAATACAGCTATTAGCAGTTATTAAAACTGCCTGAAGTATGTTAAGACCCATTGGTCTCTGATCAAATAGTATCACTGAATAAAGATCAGCAGCAGCATTCTTTAGAACAAAATACCAATTACAGCATTCTTAAAATCAGGAATTCAGATGCGCCTTCCTTTCCTCCTATCATTAATGATTTCTGTCATACTATCACTTTGACCACTAGTACTTTCTCATAAACACATGGAAGATGGGGTGGGCAGAAGACACAGATGAAAGGGCAGAGCATGTAAAAGCTGCACAAGCCCACAATCAGAAATACTCACATGGTAGCTAAAACAACACTCTCTTTGTTTCAGATGTTTCACTATAAAGTCACTTGCTCTTTATCAAAATGCCCCAGATGTCTTTGAAAAGTACTATTTGAAAGATTAAATATTTTTTTTCAAACCAGAAGTGGATTCCATAATATTCTTATATAATATGTAATAACAAATTATTTCTATATATTAAAGGGATTTTCTAAGGAGAGGACCCAAGTCTAAGCACAAGCAATTTTATTTGTATTCCTTATTTACACAATCAAAGGTAATTTTATGCAGTTTTTATTTTTCTTGTTTGCCTGCTACCACATTACATAAGGTCAGGTGTTGGAATATCCGCTTGTATTGGATTGGCACTCAAAAAGTTTCATATTTTATATTTTGGAACATTATGGATTCTCAATTAAGGAAGTGCAACTTGTATTAAGGAGTAACAGAGCATATAATGGGAACAAAAATCAATTTTGACAAAACAAAACAAAGAGAAAAATGAAGTAGTAATAAAATATAGATTAACTGGTAGACTTCGTGAGGCTTCCTCTCATTTTCCTCCTATACAAGGTTTCTAATCATGAATGTATAGTGGCTTATCTTTAAAAATATTAAAGCATTTAGATAGTGTTCTAGCCCCTAGGTGCTCATTTAGCAAACTAGCAACTTACTGTCTAGAAATACCAAACACTGTCCCTTTACAATTCAGACTGCACTCCTAATAAAGACAAGAGATTCCTGGAGTGAACCCAGAAGACAGCCATGGCTGCTCTGCACCGCTGCTGCCCTCTTCAGGCCACACTCTCAATTTCAACATAGAAAACCTTAATATAAAATCTTGCCACTAAGCAATACACAACAGGGGACATAGCTAGTCACACTTTTCAGTCTGGAAACTAGACAATGGCAAAAGATAATCTCTGAGCAAAGTCTGTAATATAGCTGCTAAATGGAGCTTTCTCTTGATGGTGCTTGAAAACTTAATAGTTGCCAGTTGTGGTTAGCATCTTACCATTGCTGCCCTATAAATCCATAAACTACACTACTAGTAAAACTAAGCCTACAAAATGTTTAAAAAAGAAAAAGAAAAACCACATCTAATAGGTGGTTACTAAAACAGACACAAAGAATAACATGTATCTTTATCCGGTCAGCACATGCATGCATGTGTACCATGTGCATGCTTGGTGCCTGAAGAGGTCATAGAGGGCCTCAGATCCCCTGGAACTGAAGTTGTGGGCAGCTGTGAGCCACTACCATGTGGGTGCTGGGAACCAAACTTAGGACTCCAGAAGAGCAAGAAGCACTCTTTTTTTTTTTTTTTTTTTTTTTTTTTGGTTTTTCAAGGCAGGGTTTCTCTGTGTAGCCCTGCCTGTCCTGGACTCACTTTGTTGCCCATGCTGGTCTCAAACTCACAGAGATCCACCTGCCTCTGTCTCCCAGAGTGCTGGGATTACAGGCCTGCAACATCATGTCCGGTTCAGGAAGCACTCTTCCAGCCTCTAAATATGGATTCTAAATTCATTTAAACATCATGGCCTGACCGCAAACCTATTTCTTTTGAATCAACAAATTTCATTTGAATCAACAGAATAAGACAGTTTATATCCAGACCAAGAAACAGGATTGACAGAGGATTTTTAATGTTTTTAAACGATAAAAATGAAACTGGGCATGGTGGTGTATGCCTACAATGTCAACACCCCAGAGACAGAGGCAGGAGAATCAGGAGTTAAGGCTTACCCATCAAAGCCTGTCTCAAAATACCAAAAAGAGGTAGCACGGCAGCACAGTGCTCGTGCCCATGGAGACCCGCTGGGACAGGAGTACGAGCAGACAAGAATTCAAACACAGCTCTTGGGCAATAAGGTAAACATGCAGTGGAGCCAAAGCCAGCTAGAGCTGTATTCAGAGCCTTAGTCTACCTGGCCCTGCCTTATACATACTTATGCTCTAGTGCCACTAAAACTGACAGTTTAAATCTTGACAGTTTTGATCTTGACAGTTTTATCTTGGAGATGAAAGGGCAGAAGTGTGCACTGAAGAGCAGAACTGCTTCACTTTGTCAATTTCTAGAAAGCAAGGCAGTGATGGAAGGAAATTTATAACTCATAGGCAGAAAATGGAGATCCTTTTCTGAAGAAACCAAACTGTCCTATGAATTGGGAAAAAGCCCCAACTTGGCTTGGCCTCCAAATGCTTGCACTGTGAGTGACCTTCAGTTAAAAATTCATGGCCCTTCCAGTCACATAAAGCAAAGGGCAGCCCCACAGTTGAGAGAAGCCTCCAAAAGACAGACTGAGACAACAGGACAAGGCAATTAGTGACAACACTGGAAAGTCAGAAGCAAGTCAAGACCTAGGAAAAATCTGAGAAGGATTAAAACACAAAGTAAAGGAATCTCCCAGAACAAAGACACAAAACTAGAAAGTAAAGGGGAGACAGAAATTAGGTAGAGATACTGAAATTCTGGTCTGGAGGCCCAATATCTGAATAAAAAAATACAAGAAAAAAATCAAAGAAACACAAGAAAAAAAATTAAGTAAAATGTTTGCAGGCCTATTGGATCTGAATAAAATTAAAAGATCCCTAACAAAGTGAACTTCTATAAACTCTCAGGCCCCTAGAGATGAAGTCCTTCACCCCCAGAGAAGGGGAGTGTCTCCGAAGCGCCCACAGCAGCAGATGTTTAATGGCCGCACTAGAGCTCAGGGATACGGCCCAGGATACTTGCCTAGGTGTGTTGAACACTGCGTTCAATCCCAGGATCACAAAAAAGTAAATAAAACAAACACTACATACTTTGTACTTGAGACTGTATCTGAAAAGTATCCTAAGGACTGCGGAAATTAGTTTCAAGGCAGAACTCCATCTATAGGTGAAATATTACAAGCCAGGTCACTACGAATACCAGTATGTCCCCTCCCAAGAAAACATGTTCCAGGGCAGTATAAGATAAAGGGAAGCAGAGAATCTAGGACATGAGAGAGAAGTCATTTGAGACCCCAGGAACTTTGAACACACTTTGAAGGAAATAAATGAGCAGGCCTAACAAACCCGAGCTCACTGGAAAAGGATAACAAAAGCTATGAAGGGGTGGCTACAGAAGAAAGCCAGAGCAGATGTATTTTACTAACTAGAAAATATTTTTGATAGGCATGTGATAAATGTGACAACATTTGGGGTAAAAAAAATTGGCTGTTAAGAACCAGGCAAGTGAAAATCGTTGGAAAATTAATTCTCCACTCTAAGACCAAGAATGTGAAAACAGGAGACCAGCCAGAGCTGTACACTGCTGTGCGAGCTGATAGGGCTAGGAGAAGGGATTCATCCAGAGGGCAGAGTGCAGATTCAAAACCATGGAAGAGAAAGAGCGAAGGCTGTGTGAGGAGGCAACACAGAATACAACATAACTCAGCAAGTAAGAATATGAACACACATAATGTAAAAATAGTATGACTTAACAAAAAATATATATGTTGAGGAAATGAAAGAGGGAAACAGTGATCACAGTGGAAAACAAACTTTTACGTATAGTGATGGGAAGTCAGCAGACAGTACCAAAATTAATGGCTTGTTACTTCAATTAAAAAATTAGACTAAGAGGCGGGAGAAATGGCTCAGTACTTCAGAGCTCTCAGCTGCTTTTGCAGAGAAACCAGATTCAGTTCCCAGCACCCACATCACACAGCTCCCAGCAACCTTTAACTCTAGTTTTGGGAGACCTGACTCCCTCTTCTGGCCTCTGAAAGGCACCTGTGCATAAAGCGCACATAGGCTCTTGCAGGCAAATGCACAGATAATAAGTAAACATTCCAAAAAAATTAAGAGTAAAAACGGAAAAAATTTTCAGGCATATGTCTACATTATAATCATGTTATGTAACTATAAGTAAACAAAAAATGTCAGAACACTGTTTTAAAAGTGGTATTAAGTCAGACTTTCCTAAGTAAATATTTTATCTCAGAAAAGAATTTTAGGAAATGTACAGAAACAGTCTACACTAACAGTACTGCATTCCTTATTTTCTACAAGTCACTGTACAAAATCTTTTAACCAAACTACAAATTTCTTAACATTTCAACTATTTACTTACATGGTTTAAATGGTTGCTCTTCCTCTTTTCACGCACTAAGAATAAAAAAAAAATTAATCGATCAATTCTGATACAAATGCCACAGAAAAATTAAAGTAGCTGCTACTATTTATCTGATGGATTACCAACATGCAAACTAAGGTAAAATTCATTTCTACTTTAAAAAATAGTTTCTACCCAGATAAATTTGTCAAAATAAACTCCAGAAAGTAAATCTAAAAGCCTAATTTTACCTTTTAAACTAACAGATAACATAATTAGGCACAAATGAGGATTTCTATCTACAAAAGGAAAATAAATTAGGGCAGGTGAGAAATTCAGCTAATAAAAAAAAAATAAATCTGCGATAATCTAACCACCAACCCTACCTTAATGAGCGCTTAAAATGAGTGTGCGCCCTGAGCATATCTGCAGCACAAACTCTAGGAAAAGCCTACAGTGCACAGAGATACCAGAATAGACTCAAGTCCCACAAAATACAACTATTAACCTATTAACCAGGCTAGAACCATAAACCCTTTAAAAACTGGGCTGCATTACTGCATTTTTCCCAGTTATTCTTGTATAATTCTAATTTCTTATATTCACACTGTCATAATCAACAGAAGTTACTTAAATTTAAAAAATGGGGGAGTGGGGTTAACCAAACATTACAGAAAAAAGCACAGAAAAATCCCATAGTTCACTCTCAACCTGAAACAAGCACCAATCTACACATTAGCAGACCTTCTAGAAAACTTAGGACATGTTTGCTCTGAGTTTTGTTGCAATGGGATGAAGATGAAGTTGTGAGGCCATAAACAAGGGTGTGACACAGGCTCATACGGTGGGGGTCCTATATAAAATAAGGTCAAATGACCATACATAAAACAGCTGTTTTGGCGTTTCACATAAAATCTAACAGAACCCTAAACCTTATCACTCATCTTTAAAGGACACTGTTGAATTAAGGAGAAGAAAGAAAGAGGCTAAGACTCACAGAGCTAAGACCCACGCCACTTGTAAATCATTCATCTGCATGGGAGACAAGGTGGGGATGTATCTGCAAAAATCTACAAGCTCTTCCCTAAAAGAGTGATATTAAGGCAAAGCATATCATCATATATCAAAAATAAATGCATGAAAAGCTCAAGTCAGTATACAAGTTCTATGAGATGTTTTGATACTGTGTCATATTGAATAGCAGCAGTTTTTAGACTTTTCCTCAGTGGGGAAATAGCCTTACCATCCGTTTGAGATTTGCTGAGGAAAATTGTGCTTGCCCTTGGATGGTCGGAAGGGTTTGATTCCAAAGCTAAATCTGCAGAAGGAAAGAAAAAGAGGTGATTATTATTTTGGAAGAAAAGTAGATGTTTTTGAAAATTATGATTCACACTTCTACCTTTTAGGGGAAGGGTTTTTAATATATGAACATGAGGAAAATAAAGGCAACAAAATACACATACTAACAAAAAAAACTGCAGAATCTCTCCATTCATGCTGAATCTAGCAGCGATGGCTTAGACTCTTTTAAATCATGAAACTTTAAGAGAATCATATGTATGTTTTTCCTTTTACTTAGCTCTATGCTGATACTACTAAAATGTTTCCAGACTGTCAGATACAGCTCAATATATCACATGTGCTACAACACAGGCAACTGGTCTCAATAAATATTCTTTAACCACTTGGCTTCATTCTTGTCTACCTTCATTAGACAAGAGAACTTGTTTAGTTAGTTGTTTCTGTGGGAGCAACCCATTGTGTAGATTTACATAACTCCCATCAATACAAACTAATTTTTAACTTTTGGCCTCAATTTCCAAGGCTATACTCACTTCTTGCTGCAATCTACCTTGGGAGCAAGATGGGATAATGTTCTATTTAACCAACGTTAAACTAATCATAATGTGGGATAAGAAACATTGTAATGAGAAAGGTCAAAAACTATGATAATCCTGAGCAATGCTCACCTCAAGCCACTTATCCAAACTTGTCAGAAACTGGAACAAGATCCAGGCAGAAAAACAGTAAGGCAACACTCCCAAACCCTGCCAGCCAGGATTCTACTCTTTGAAAAAGGGGTTTATTTGAGTTTTTGTTTTTTAATGTATGAGTGCTCTGTCTGCATGTATACCTGCAGGCCAGAAGAGGGCATCAGATCTCTTTATAGATAATGGTAAGCCACCATGTGCTTGCTGGGAATTGAACTCAGAACCTTTGGAAGAGCAGCCAGTGCTCTTAAGAGCTGAGTCATCTCATCAGTTTTGGTACTGCATGCCTTTAATCCCACAGCTTGGGGGAGGCAAATCTCTTTTGAGTTTGAGGCCAGCCTGGATACAAAGAGAGTTCTAGTATAGCCAGGGCTCTACAGAGAAACCCTATCTTCATGAAAACCAAAACCAAAACAAGACAAAACAAAACAATCCCCCCCCCCAAAAAAAAACAAAAACAAACAAACAAACAAAAAAAACCCCAAAAAACCAAAGGGTGGTGATGGTTAGTGGTAATCACAGGGAGCCGACCATCCTTGGCTTTTACAGAGTACACACTTGACATACTGCCTATCTTGCCAGCTCCAGTATACTGCCAATCCTCTCTTCTGGCCTCTCTCTGCATCTGCACTTGTTCATACACATGAAAAATAAATTCAACTCTAAAACCCCTCCTCTACCAGCACTGTGGTCTAACTCAGCATTTCACGAATGCATATATTCAGAACCCCTTTTCTTTCTCCAAATAAGCAGCACAGAATCTTGCATGAACATAATCCAGGGCTTCCCATTGTAACAGGAATCTGAATCATCTACTTTATTTTTAAATTATTTATTTAGAGATAGTTTCGCACTATGTAGTTCAGGCTAGCCTTGAACTCTTGGATCCTTCTGCCTCAGACTCACGGGAGCTAAGATTGTAAGTGCAGCAGCTGAACAAAACTATTCTTAAAGATACCCCCACACAAAATTATTTTTAAGGTTTTCTGACAGTGTTAAGTGTGAGATAAAGTTAGCTATGTGGGAAAACAAAGCCATGCTTGGATGAAGTGACAGGCAGGAAGCTTCCAAGCTATTTCCAACCTAACACTCTTTTCTGCAGAGACAGAGGACTACTTCCTTCTAAAAAGCAAATATATCACCATTTTCATTAAAATATAATTTGCAGATCACACTATTAAAATAGTTTATAGAAACAGCTACATTATGTAACAGTCCCTATGTCAGAATAAAGTTTAATTAAACATTTTTAGTAGATGGGGCTTAAGTTACACATTGCTCAGTCAGTACAGTGTTTCCCTGGGTTCAATCCCCCACACCAGGAAAAAAAAATTCAAGGAATGTCACAAGTACAAGAAAATTATTAAAATCAAAGAGAACTAAAAGTTTAAAACATAGATCTCAAATCAGCAGGCTGGAGAGGTGACTCAATAGTTAAGAGCACTTGCTCTTGTGAAAGACATAGATTTGGTTCCTAGCACTCACGCTGGGTGGCTCACAATGGCCGGTAACAGCATTGGGGGTTCTATTGCACATATGTTCATGCACAGACATACACTGAAGTTCACATAAATTCACATAAAATAAATCTTAAAAAAAAAAAAAAAGCCAACTCAAATGTACTGTTATGGCTGTAAAGGCTAAATCCAAGGTTGTGATAAAAGCAGTGACAATATGTCACAGAGAGGGAGTTTTGGAGTGGGTATATATCTCAAAGCTGGCCAGTCAATCACAACACTCTAGACTTCTCAAAAAGCCAGAGGAGAAAGGCAACTGTGCTGGAGGAAATATTAGCTATTTAGGAGATGCAGTGGATCATTGGAGGAAAGCCTTTTCATTGGAGACAAACAAGGGAGAGAGCACAGTCAAAACACATCCTGAGATCATTTAATTCCCAGGTCAAACTATAGCTAGTTTTCCTCTCTTTAAACTCATTGTGCTGACTTTGAGATCAATTTCCCTTAATGCATAATCATAAACAACATAGTCTGTAGTATGGAGAGCAATAAAAATGAGATGGGGAAAAGTCTTCCTCAACTTCGGAAACTAGCAAAAGCTAAAATAATGCATCATTTTAAAATTACCAATAGATACACTAAAAAATCGTTAACCTTCCGTTGTTTCTAATGCACTTCTTAAAAACAGTACCTGGGTTGGGAGCGTCATTAGGTACCTGACTCTAGCACATCCAAGGCCCTGGACATCGAACCACGAGAAAACAAATCCTCTTATGAGTTCAAAACAACAACAACCTTTTCTCAGCCCACAACTTGTGATGCATTAAAGAAAAATCATCCCCACCCTCAACATAGTTATAGTTGAATAAATGTATAATGATATATCATCAAGTGTTATTCCCACTTTAGCTTAACCAATCCAATACTGGGAATTTAGACACAAAATTATGTCCTTAAAAGTACACAGAATTTTTTCTTTAGCACACTGTATTTTAAAATAAATGCTTTTTATCTCCTTAAGAAAGATCTTCAAATATGGAATCACAAATGGGTGATTTCCATGGCTCAACATACAGGACCCAGCTTTTTAGAGAAGTAAAGGCACACTGAGATATACAGTACTGCCGCTCTTACCTTAGCTTTGGATACTTAGAAATTCCTGATGTTTGTGAACGAGGAAAATTACTGTGACTCTAATTTACATATATTTGATTACAGTCTGGCCACTCTCCTATAGTTGTTATAATATTTCCACTTTGGTGCATTTTTCAAATCACATGTATAAAGCCTATTGGAATTATATCCACTAGACCTCAAGGCTAATTTGTACAGTGTTTTGAGAAAATAAAAACTTTATATAGCCACCAAAGTTTGCTATGTAACTTGCACTTTCCACTTATTTTAAGTACCACATGTTGCTATTTTATAAAGAAAGGAAAAACAAGCCAGTAGACAGTGATCCTATATACACACTGTATTATTTCTGCACTATTAACTCTATTCCCTAGAGCCTATGGAGTGCTGATAAATCATACTGCTCGATTCACCCTTACAGAGGCAAGACAACTATGAACCAAAGCATTAGGCTCCATAAACACACATTCTGCACACACCTATGGATTTAGGAAAATGAGAAAACACCAACTATCATGAATCTTCTATGTAAGTGTTTTAGAAACCTGCAAGAGGGGAGGGGCTGATGACCCAGCTCAGTTGGTAGAAGTGCTTAACGCACAAGAAGAGGTCCTGGGTTTGGATCCCTAGTACCCATGTAAACAGCCAGCATGCACAATGCACCTGTGAGCCTACTGACAGAGGTAGAGACAGGCAGATCCCTGGAGCACCCCTGCCAATCAGTCTAGACTCTTAAACAGATGGAGTAGGAATGAGGACGATGACCCTCTCTTCATGTGTCATATTTATAAACGTGTACACACAAGTACACAAAGAAACATCCCCCACAAAAAAACCTCTAAGAATGTTTTCAACTAGGACAATTATCTCAGGATAAAGAGTTAAAATTGTAAAATCCACTATTTTTAAATTATCAAATTTAGTTGCAATTTAATTTGAAAGCAATGGTAGGCAAATAAACTGTCTTTCCTCCAGCCCAAGATTCTATAAGTTGTATGATCTACCTTAATTACACATGACAAAATACTAACAAAACAAAAAACCAAAACAAACAACAACAACAAAAACCCCACACAACATATAACTAAATGCATTGCTGGAGGCTCAAAATGTTACCATTATGCAATCATACCCCATCACAAAAATTTTCCTTATCAAAATATTAAAGAAGGTAGTGACAGATATCAGCAGATAGAAATAGCACAGTTCAGGGAGAAAAAAAGTGAATTCCGACATAGGGATTTCAATATGTCATAATTAAAGAGTATGTCAGCAGTTCCTGGGCACTCATCCACTTACTGGCAAGCTCCATCACCCCTTAACATATACTGCACTACTTTTATGGCTTTGAACACAAATACTCAGATTTACCACTGCACTGACAACTGATGACTCTACCACTGAGTTCCCATTTTGCCAGCTCAATCTAGCGCTCATGCTTGCCCAGTTTTTCTAGCCTCCAACGATCCAATCCATCTCTGCACCTGCTTTAACGGCTGTTAAATTGTTCATATATTGAAACTTTCCTTAGTTTACTTCTTTTTTTTATTTTTTATTTTTAGTTTACTTCTTGAGTGCATTTTACTTAGACTTTAAAGATCATTTCTAGGCTACACATTTTTTATCTTCACTTCATTGCATACTCCTGAATGTTACTGTTTGAACACCACAGCTTACTGTCCTCAAAAGAAAACAGAAGAAAAATGTCATCCAAAGAAACCCACTTTGAGTCGTATTCTATAAGCTATATGTTGATACATTCTACAAGTGGAATTTACATTCCTCATTGGTCATGTCTTACTTGTTAAAAAATTCAATCTATATTTTCTGGTAGCTGTCTTCTCTTTTGTAAACCAGTTACGATTCCTGTACTGCCCAACTCAAAACACTAGGATAAAACGAAATATACAGGACATATACAATACATCACAAAGTTTTCATACCCACAAAAGCAAACAAGTAAACAGTGTTAATTTGTTGGTAAATAGATATGCCAAAGTAATTCTTAGGCAAACATGTATGTGCTTTGTCTAAACACTAGATAAAAGGGTATATGCATAATCACTCACACAAGATCAAGAATTCTATAGTGGCTTTTTCAAATAAGCAAACACGAATTTCCCTTGGTGTCTCCCACATGGATGACCTCCCCTTACATACCCCCTTTCATGTGTTACTCCCCAAAGACGGCCCTAACCAGAGATCTGATTTATTTTATGGTTCCACACGTACTTACTTTTATCGATACAAATGCATAGCCATGTGGATATGCAGGTTTATTTTACCTGCCCCTTACTGCACGAGTTGCTGTCAATACCATCGTAATGAAAATAATACAGCAAGAACTTTGAAAATATGTTGTATATTCATGATGGTATACACACCTTTGGCACAAATTAAAGTATGGTTTCTAGATTAAATATATTAGCAATGTTTTTAGACTTTGCCAAATTCTCCTTTATGGAGTCAAATCATTTTGCATTTCCACCAGCAACATATGAATATAACCTCCCTTAGAACCTCACCAAAGTCCAGTCAAGTTTTTGGATTTTCTCCCATCCCACCAAGGAAACTGAAGCAGTTTTCGTTCATATTTTTCTTGTGTGTGAGGTTTAAGGATCATCTGAATTCCTTTTTCTGTCACTTGTCCATTCACCTGTGATTTATTTATTTACTTAATGTATTTAAGTCAGCCTATTTTAGAACCTAGGCAACACTGGTTTTATTCAAGTCACCGTGGCTTTCCCTAAATTACTGCCCAGCCTCCCAGCTGCACAGTATATACCAGCTTTGTGCATATACCCCATAGTGCATGCTCATAAAGCTACTAATCTGGTCTCTTTCATAAAGAACTTGTTCCCCTGTGTATAATCCTCCAGTGGTTTGCCATTATAACCAACTCCACATTGTTGTCAAGGCCAATTTAGCATATGAAGGCCTAATCTATCACCTTTCTCCAGGCATTTCTCTATTGCAGCATTCTTGTTTCTCTTCACTTACAGACACCAAGTTTATTCCTATGTAAAAAGCACTCAAATGGGCTGTCTGCAGGGCAGTCTCCCTTCACCCCCTACTGCTTTCTTTCCGTTTTAGAGCAGTTCATATCTCACTTAACGACGACAGGCATCACTCCAGGGGAAAACTGTCCCTTCTCCCAATTATTACCCTATTTGACTTTCTTCATACCAGCACGTTCTTGATGACTCATATAGTATCTATTCCCACCTGTCTCTAGAACAGAAGGATCAAGGAGAGGAAGGAAATACCTTTTCTTATCACTGTCTCCATCTAGAACACTGCCTGATCATTCAAAGGTGTTCAATAAACATGGTTCAGTCAAGCATCTTTCAGTTTTCTCAAATTTTTAGACAATTTTTAAACCTAATGCTGTTTCTTGATCTGTCATCTTAGATCAGTATTACTGACACACTTCTGAGAGCAGTAGCTATTCAGAATTAACATGAGACAATCTACTAAGAATCACAAAATCTAAATCAGGAATTTTAATGGCTAGTAAAAAGCCAATGCCGTTAGCTTTTGAAGTGGCATAAGAACTAAATGCCTTTAATGCCAATGACACATTCTAAGGACGAAAATCATAACAGTAAATATAAATATAACTTCTGCATTCTATCCAGAGGTAGAATGTACCAGCCACTAAAAATTGTTTTTTATTTTATGAGAGTATGTGTAATTTACTATGAAAGACCTCTAACCGTAAGGACAGGTACAGCAGATACTCCAACTATTCAAGGGTTCACTTACACTAAGCAGTGAAGAAAAAGCATGCCACAGAACAGTGTCCACTGGCACAGGGAGACATCCTGGGGAGACGAAGCACTGTTCCAGGAATAGGAAGCTGCACACAGATGGGTCTCATTTTTATAAAGTGAAATATTACATATACAGGCATATGAAAAGTTCAAGAAGACCAAAATATTAATAAAAGTTAGCTTTGATGACTGTGAATAAATGGTTTATGTGTGTTTTCTTTATCTTTTCCCAACATGTCTTTTAAAAATGGTTAAGAGCAACTGGAAAGGGGAGTACTGCTTGGAGGCTTTCATGTGGCCAATTCCTTCCCTGCTCTCACCCTTCCGAGGGACAGGGGGAAGAGGGTTGAGAGCATTTTCCACCCAATATGCACAGCTCCTAAGGTCAGGTGATGAAAGCTGCACTAGAGACTGAGCAGCCTTAGCACCCTGTTCCGCTTACTGCTGGACCGTCCTCTCAGACACGGAACTGAAGCCAATGGATTAGGCAACCCTAACCTAACTTTGAATGCTCTAAAATGTTTCAAAGAGAGCAAAGCAGAACATCATTCATTTACAATTTTCTCTAAGAAATCAAAACAATTCAATTCCTCGTTATATAAAAAAGCTACCTTTTAATCTAAATATTTCTCAGTTTCCAAGGAAACTTGCAAAAAAACTTTCTGAAATAGATATTAAAAGCAAACTTTCAATGTGTTTGGTGTTCTGATCTAGGCAAATGCTGACATTTCTTACCACAATACTGAGTGCCAAAGAACTTAATTTTACAAAGTTTTGGCAGCACTAAGGGCCAGGCCCTAGGAGTCTGAATCTGCTGGGCAAGGGCTATACTCTTACACTAGTCCAGAAGGGAAAAGGAAACTCAGAGTGAACCCTGAACTCAAACTGTAATGGACACATTAATAAACCCAAATTCTAGGCTCACAAACTCTGATTTTTTTTTTTCAAAATTTCTGACTTCGCCTTCCCTCTCATATAATTCTATGCTTACCCAGCTCTTGACAGACTTTAATGTTCTGTCAGAGTATTCTCAGCTTCAACTCATGGTTACCAGAACAGACCCATTTGCATGATCAGTATATTTAGGTCACACTCTGACCTCCCCTTCTACTCTTTTTCATTGAAAAGAATACATACGAGATATGAGATCTAAGAAAAATGTTGCCTTTGCATCAGTTAACAGGGGACTTGTCTTGGACTAAGTACCAAGGGCTTTGTGTGACAGATTAAAACAGAGTATGTATTCTGAAAACATTTTTCCCTAAAGAGTCCAACCCAGAACATATGGCAGCTCCACATTAGCCTTTCAGAGCCGGCCTATGCAGAAGCAGCCACAGTCATATCTTAACTTTGCATCGTCATCAGCAATACAGTGAGAATGCACACAGGCATCCTTTGTATCTGGAAGGGACAAATACGCATATATGAAAATGTGCTGTAATCCTTCAAGAATTATAAAAAGGCCCTACTTGGACTCTCACCCAATACTATCCATATACTAACTGGTAACCCAGAGGCTTACCTTACAACACTGAAACAGAACAGTCTGCATTCACACACACACACACACACACACACACACACACACACACACACACTGGAAGGCACTGAATCACACACTCATGCAAACATCCACTGATTAAAGATACAATTACTTTTACATTCTCTTACAATATTTGAATATTACAAAATTACAAAAGTGTATCTATCATGGATGGTCAATTAGACACCAACAGTGCAACTAAAGTTTAAAGACAGTTATGACATTCTTCCACAGAAAGGAAATCATTTGTAGCATTTAAGTAAAACTAGCGGGCCAATCTGCCTTAAACACCTCATGATACTTTGTCTTACAAATTACTTTTACCCAGATTCACCGGTTTTGAAAATTCTAACTATAAAGCATCAAGCATTTCCTCTTCTTCCTTCCTTCCTTCCCTCCCCCACCCCCCAGCCTACCCTCCAGTGGTTCGGTTTGCCGAACTTTGCTTTTACTCCAACATTCTCAGCACCTCTCCAGGCAGAAGGTGGGGAGGCAAAAGAAACCATGGAAACAAACACAACAGGAACCTGCAAGGGTCTGTCTTCTTAACTCCCAAACCTTCACATTGCTAATTTAAAGCTACATTTAAGCTTTTGTCTCCCTTGAAACGCCTGACCAACAATCTCTCCCCAATCCTCCTTCTTTTGGAAGAGGTAGAGTAAGTGTTTTAAGGAAGCATAATTTGGAGGGTAAACTCCTTGTGTGGGAAGGTAAGAGACTTTTCTGCAGCCCTGGAAGAAACGGACACTGACATTTTTCACAGAAGTCCCCTCTTTCCCAATTTCATCTCTGTGTTCCAATTATAACTGCAAGGAATATAACAGCCTATACTGAGGCTACTTTTAAACTCCCATTTAATACCATACACAATGGCAACCTCTACTTGAACCTAAGTAAGAAATCCTCAAACAGGATGAGTAGGAATGGCTCTATTATCAGTTACCTAACGGAGCAAGAGGAACCATTAGACTCTTTACCTTAGGTACCATCTGGCTAAGTAAAGACAGGGAGATGGGACGGCTATTCCGAGGTCAGGGTTGCTGGGAGTTCTATTAAGAAAACGGGCAATTTATACAGATACATGAAGTCTTGATAAAAGTCCCACTGGACGGGACACAGCACTACAAAGAGGAAGCCGTGCGGGCTAGAGGGTCCCAAATCAGGATGAGAGAATGGGGAGAGCGAAGAGCTGGGAGTGTGGGGTGGGAGGGAAACTGGCCGGGAAAGAATAAGGGGTGGGGACGCGAGCCACAGCCTTCATTCCCCGGAGCCCAGGCCCGCGCCAGCCTACTCGGGGCAGGAAGGAACCCGAGGCGGCGGCGGCCGCCTCCCAACGAGACCCTGGGAGACGGTGGAGGCCGGGGGTGCGCCGCGGCAGGGACGCGCCCGCTGCCTCCTCACCTTCGGGCATCTCTCGGTCGCTGATGTGCTGCAGGTGGTGGCCCTCGCCGGCTCCGAAATCCAACTCGGAGGGCTCCACGGCCGCAGCGGGCGCCGGCGCTACCGCCACCGCGTCCCCGGCCGCCGCCTCGTAGATCTCAGACTCGTAGTCGGGCTCCGCCGGCCCCGCGCGCCGGCCCAGCTTGGGGCTGGCATTGGGGGACACGCAACAGGTCAGCGTGTTCCCCATGGGGCGCGTCCGCTCCGCTCCACCGCCGCCCGCGCCTCCGCTCGCCCCGGACTCCGCGCCCGCCCCCTCCCCCAACAATGGCGCGGTCGGCGCCGGCAGCCCCGGGCTGAGCGGGGCTGCGCCCGCCCG